GCTGTGCTTCATTGAAGTGTTCACCAAGTTACCCAAAGAGTGACTTCAGCATAGGAGGGTTAAGGAGGGCTTGAGAACATGTACCGTACATGTAGTGCTGGTACATGTACATGTATCTGTGTACGTGTACAGTACATGTACATGTATACTACAGCTGTTTACAGACTACATCTTCAAAACTACTTTGATTTTTCTTTCTTTTATGATATTGGAAAAGTTGACAACTGATAAGTTGTTGGATCGCAGGATGTGGGAAAGTGCATGCACTAGTCAATATGTACATGTACACTGTACACGTCCCTCAAGAATAAGGCATGTGACAGCCACAGTTAGGCCACAGAAATTCTGTGTGAGTTCTTAAGTGCACTGTACATATGTAACATACATGTGTACATGTACATTCATGTACATGTACTGGTAATGAACATTCAACATAGGAGAGTAGGGATGTGCGGGTACAGTGTACATGTACAGTACATGTAGGGGTATATGTTTGTGAAGCTAAAAATGAGTACCCTACATGTATTTCCACTCATTTTCTGTTGCTTACAGTTCAATATTCTACTGTGAGACCTTTTCACAGTTGGTTGATCAACTCAAATAGAAATTCTTTGGCTTCTACATGTATGTACAGTGTATTTTTTATGGGAGACACATACCCATTGAATACCTGAGGTCACATGCCAGTATAGTTAAATTTTGTAGGAATAAGCCATTTGCAAGTTAAATTTGAATAAAATCTGGAACACTAGGTTCTTTACATGTTCATTCATGAGGTGTAGCCACTGTTGCTATACCTCATGATTTGGGGCCAGTTTTTCCTTAGCTACATGAAAGACACCCCTGAAACAGTACATTGTTCTCAATGAATGAGAAGGGCATGAACTCAGGAACCAGTCCATTCCAGAGATGGTGGTCAATATGCAAAAGCTTGCCCCAAATCACTAGGCAGAGCAACAGTGTCTTTAGTCTGGGGAATTCAAATTGTTACCGGTATGTTCATGTGCAATCAGATAACTCAGTGTACCAGATTTTATTCCTGTGCAGTTGTACAAATGTACATGTACCCCATACATGTGCACACACTTGCCAAGTGGTCAACTGCTGGGAACAGAGGCTTGATACTGCATACCGGTATGTGCATGTACATGTACCAGTACATGTATGTACTTGTACGCATACATCATGGGATGCATTCATGTACATGTACGTTGTACAAGTATATTTATGCATACTCATACTGGTACAATTACATGTATGTGTATACCGGTACATGTACATGTACATGTATGTGTGT